AGCAGCCACAGCAGCAGCAGCAGCAGCAGCAGCAGCAGTAGTAGTAGTAGTAGTAGTAGCAGCAGCAGCAGCAGCAGCAGCAGCAGCAGCAGCAGCAGCAGTAGTAGTAGTAGTAGTAGCAGCAGCAGCAGCAGCAGCAGCAGCAGCAGCAGCAGCAGCAGAGTAGTAGTAGTAGTAGTAGTAGTAGCAGTAGTAGCAGCAGCAGCAGCAGTAGGAGCAGTAGCAGTAGCAGTAGCAGTAGCAGTAGCAGTAGCAGTAGCAGTAGCAGTAGCAGTAGCAGTAGCAGTAGCAGTAGCAGTAGCAGTAGCAGTAGCAGTAGCAGTAGCAGTAGCAGTAGCAGCTACATTTCAAACGAAACAGTATAATTCACACTGGCTTGTGTCGGTGGCGCCACGTATAGTGTAAAAACAGAAGAAAACGAGAGCGATTGGTGAAATTTCATCACTACGATCGCGCTCCCGCGACCCCCGGCCGAGCGATGACCTCATACCTCAGAGAGAAGTCGGCCAGCCTTGGGATCGACCTTTGACAGCTCAGAGAACGCTTCGTCTCCCACAAAACAAATCTCATGACCATCCTAGAGTTGAAAAAAAGAAAGAGCAATTCATCATCAGTTTGTTGATTTTTCAACTCGCAAGTTGCAACCAGCTGTGGTTGGTCACCGCACACTTATCGTATTTATCACACACTTGGAGCATCAGTTGTAAGGTTCTGTCCGGGGATTCCAGAAGACATGCTTGGTAATCAACAATTCATCACCTAATTTGAATTAAATTACAGCTATGTCGATGAGACAACAATTAACACACATCGGAGGACTTATGGAACGTCGCAAATTAGCTTTCTCCAAATTTTCTTTTGGTAAATTAGCTTTCGGCTTTAAAGACAAGTCGCTGCACGTGCCACGCTCTAGACCGGTACAATTCTAAAACATAGAAAAATAATATTCGTATACTGTGATATACGTATATACGCATATATATCGTATACAGATATACCCGAATCGATCAATTGACATCTCACATGACGTCATTGCTTTGATGTTTCGGAGACGCAGCGGCGGCGGCGTGCAATAACACTCGCGTCCCGAATCGTGGTGACGGTAATGCCTGCATACTCACTGGGTCGGCTAGGATGACCACACTGACCGTAGCCTTGCCCGGCGTGTCCAGGCTGACCAGTGGCGTGAGGATCGTGTGGCCGGCCGCCGCTGCCGACGATTCGATTGCCGGGAGGTCAGCGGCCGGACAAGAGAACGCGACACGCCCGAATGCAGTCGCGCGGTCGATCGTCTGCCCAGCAGCGCGCAGCAGCAGACGACACTGTGGGGGGAAATCACACGCTGTATTCACTGTGGGGAGAAATCACGCGCTGTATTCACTGTGGGGAGAAATCACACGCTGTATTCACTGTGGGGAGAAATCAAGCACTGTATTCACTGTGGGGAGGAACGTCGCCGGAAAAACATGGACTAGTTCTCGCTGTATTTCGACGAGGATAACATTTTTACCCTGGCGGTTCCTCTTAGCACTTATGTAGTGTCGTTAGCTACTATCTAGTATATAATGTATCTTAGCACGTGTTTACGGTTTCTCTTAGTACTTGTGTGTATTATATACAATAATATATATATATATATATATATATATATTATATAGACTAGTGCATCTAGGCAGCATAGAATCAGAGCGACCAAGTATACAACGTTTACGACACGACAGTGGGCCGTTCTACGATTGTAAATGATATGTTCTGACGTCCATGCCACGGTAAGCCATCCTGGGGCAGGAGGACGATGATACCTTACTCTCTGAGTAACCGAGTTCTGCCGTCGCATCCGTCTTAGAATACACCGTCATCCCAAGCAAGCCAGCCCAGTACTCTGAAACGTGAAGCCGGTACAGTGAAATCAGAGGTATAGTGAAACCCCGTTTTTACGCGCCCCAATTTTACGTGAATTCGGATATAACGCGATGAGTCATTTGACCCATATGTTGTGTATATATAATATATACGATCGTGTTATAACGGGGCTACACTGTAGTAAGAAATATGAAGTTTTGGTAGATGGGCCAATGCCTAGATTGGCCCTCCCTCAATTTTTACTCACACGTTTAGCTATGGTTATATCTGTATAGCACTGGATACATACGTGTTGTGACATTAGTGTATGTTTCAGTTTACCTCACACGTTTAGCTATGGTTATGTTTGTATAGCTATGGGTATATACATATTGTCAGGGACAGGAGTAAATAATAACAAATACAAACAAACAAGTTGTTATTATTTACTTCTGATATTGTGTCATCGGTGAATTGGTCATGCAGTGTATGTTTCAATTCAATATCAGACCGCTATAGTTACCCCTCCATAACCAGTTTTGGAAATATGAGCCCCCCCCCCCCCGTCCGGGACTGGTAACTTTAGCAGGACTTGCTAAGTTTTTATGAATTTTCTCATGGGTTATATAGTCAAAATACAGATTTTTGAAATCTGGATATTCAGACATATTTTCAAGACTGAGATGGGTGACTATGACTGTGACTATGACTATGACAAAAGACTATGACGAAGTCCACACTAGCCCACTTTTCATAACTGGCACACTAAACATTTTTTCATAACTGAGACAAGTAGATCTTAATGTGTATGACAAAGCCCACAAAAGCCCACTATAACTCTGTTGATAAGAACTTGATCACCCAGATGACATAAAAATGTGCAACTTACTGACAGACTTGGGTAAGTTTGATACGTTCAACGCCACCTTCAGTACTGGGTCTGAAAACAGTAGAACGTCATGTCATGAGATTCCAAACGGGGCATGGGGACATAAGGTGAAAAGCGCAACAGGATCAAATCTGCTGCACTGCGAATGATGCTGAAGCTGACAGCATTGAATCTAGATAGAGATTCTTCTGGTACATTACATCACTAACATATCTATACAATATAGTGATATGTTCGTGATTATCGTATTATTATATGAACACGTCCATCAGGCTGCTATATGTCATACAACGTATATTGATATTATATGATATCTATGTATTAGGAGTGAATAATAGAGATCTCTATTATTCACTCCTGATTATATGTCGTACGATGTGTCATGACATTGTATGTCGTACGATGTGTCATGACATTGTATGTCGTACGATGTGTCATGACATTGTATGTCGTACGATGTATCACGACATTGTATGTCGTACGATGTGTCACGACATTATATGTCGTACGATGTATCACGACATTGTATGTCGTACGATGTGTCATGACATTATATGTCGTACGATGTATCACGACATTATATGTCGTACGATGTGTCACGACATTGTTTGTCGTACGATGTATCATGACATTGTACATCGTACGATGTATCACGACATTTATTTATATGTCGTACGATGTATCATGACATTGTTTGTCGTACGATGTATCATGATGTTCGTTCCCTAGCATGAACACCACATCCACATATTCGAGTATTGCCAAAAAAAATTGCATAAAGTTGAGCGAAAAAAAAGAGCATTTAGAAATCATTACCATGATCTGTAGGCTGCAGTTCGTCCATCACGAAAAACTTGTATCCGCCTGGTGCCTCTAGTATACAATAGGAGTCTTCCATGCTTAGCGGCCAGTCATTCTCCTTCGCTCGTTCAATTACCTCGCGAGATTTCATATAGAAACCCTACAGATGGCGTTAGTTGTATCAGTAAACCTGTAAATCACAGCTTTACACGAATAGCTGTCAAATGAAAAGATTTTGAGAAGCTATACTAGGCCAGTGAGGCTGAGGGGTCGTTGTCATGTATGTAGTACCCGAGGTGTCGGCGAGTATGTCGCCTACGCCTACTCCCCAACCCTAACACCCTAACCCTATCAGATAGTTACCTCGGGTACATATTATACGCCATTATACGACAACGACCCTTTGTGCGCCAGTGAGACTTCAAGTAGGACCCCTATAGATGGCGTTAGTTGTATCAATGCACCATTGAAGTGCATCTAAACACAGATGATGCTAGATATTTTAAGAATACTATTCCTGTGCTTGGACGTATGGACTATACATACTGCAAAGTCATTGCCAAGTTTGTAGGATCCTATTCCGTAGTTGTACGTGAGCTCTACGACAAAATGATCGTCTTCTGGTCCGTAGCCCACCATTGTCTTGCTCCACTGACCATCAAATGGTCTAGTAAGAATGAGAGAGAAAGATTTGATAATTAAAGAGCAGAGACAAATAAGTCAGGCTTCTGACAATAGAATGATATTAATTAATATGTATTCGTTATACTATTTATCTATTTATTTATTATTTTTTTATTTATCTAAAACCAGGAAACTAATATAATAAATAGAAGAAAGACAAAAATAAGATTATCTTAATGTGGACAATGATTACGCTGAATACCAACGTAACAAATTGATTAACACAATAAATATAAGTACATAACACTGATTACCCGTTACAAGCAGCTTTGCAACCTTCTTTGAACTCCTCATGCCTCAAAACCTGTAAATTCAGTATGAGATATGTTAACAGTTTTCACATTTGCCAGAATATCAAATAATATGAATAATAAATAAGCTACTATTATAATATAGTGAAGATTGCTCTTGCTTGATGAAGCGAGCCTGTTCATTGCACTCGATCATCCGAGCGTGACCATTGCTTTCGACACACGACATCTTCAAAGGATCAGTTTCTTCGTTTCTGTCATTCTGTACTGTAATTCTCTCCTTTCCTCTTTAGTTATTTGCAAATTCGATGCTTTTTCTACTGCGATCCGCAGTGTTGATCAATTTAATCAACTTTGTCTCTTTCCGTCTTCGATATAGCCCTTGGACATTGATTTTGAACGCTAATATTTATGAGGTTATTGTCGTGATAATTTCACGCAATAGCACATATATTATCTATACATAACCCTATATATACTAGGTTATATAGGGGTTATAAGAAAACGTGCTGTAGCGTAAGCATGGTGGCCGGGGGTGGACTGGACGGACTTGCGGCCCCGGTTTTTGCGCGCAGCGCACAGCTCGAGGCGAAGCCGCGCCCTAACGCGAATACGCCGCCCCCTTTTTGTCCACATATCTGAGACAGGGGTCTGAAAACGCACTCCGCGAAAACTGGGCGCAATCCAACCGACATTTCGGGATGGACGGCTTGAGGCCATCTCCAAACGGCCCCTAAACTTTTTTTGGGGTGGCGCGCCTCATGGCTAAGACGTAGTGGCTCCTACAAGAAATGCTGTCAATAAGCAATGACGCGCTCGCTCATTGGCCGCTACGCGATGACAGGCGCTTCTGCCGAGTATAGCGTTACGTCTATCACAGAGGTTTTAACGAAGACGTGTACGGCGCTCCACGTGGGCTGGCGCGGTCTAGATGCTATCTATCTCCAAAAGCGCCTGGCTCCGTACGTGCGAGGTTTTTATCAACCTCTTGACCCCGCGCTGCCCGTGGCGACGGCAGGTCGTGCGAGCACGTGCTGGCGTGGCCGTGGCAGTTTTTACACGTAGCTAATCCTACAATACGCCGCGACACTGACACACAAATATATATATGCACATGTTTTTACGAAGACCGCGGAGCGCGACATTCCAGCCTCCCTCCTCGGGGAGTTTTTGCGCCGCGGTGACTTTCGTAGTAAATAGATTTTGTATTTATTTAGCATTACATTTTATTGAAACGCTGCAAGTGCATGCTTGTGTGCCAGGCTGCGGAAGCATTGATGCATGTATATAGTGTATGTGTATTAACCCGTGGCGGCGGAGCGAGCGAGAGAGAGACAGACCGTGGGGAGTGCGAGAAAGAGAGAAAGATAGTGGGAGAACGCCAGATAAGGTACGAAAATACGGCAGGTGACGGTACGACGGCGAGGATGTACAAACGCGTGTCAATCTATAATCGGAAAGGCCCCCCTCCAAAGCCGATGTAGCCGAGCCGATGTACGTGTCCCGAAAACTGCGCGATGTTAGGCTGCCTACTATACGCATTCGCGCGCCCGCCTTCCTTCGGCGCGCGAATGCGTATAGCGGGGAGCTATAGCTATACATCCCGCGGTCGCGTGCGCCCAGTCCCCGCGGAAGTGCGCGGCTTAACCGCTTTCGGCGGTCGGGGAACAACGCATCTTTTGCGCAACGCCATCTTGTACCCGGTCTCTCTGGATATATGCCTATGGTTTATCATTATGATTAACAAATGACCATACACGATGACACACGTGATATACGATGATGCTACAGCAGTCTTAGACCCAAGACGTGGCTCCCACTTACTAATCATGTTCTGATAACAACATACATGCAATGTATAATATTATTCTTAGCTCGTCATTATGATTAACTAGTGTTCATGACACTGTCACGTGACATACACAGCTGATAGACACGCGACAGTGCAACTGTGATTCTGTGACTGTGAACTGAACTGAACTGCCCAAAATTACTCATTCATTTTACTTAAAACGGTAAACGTTTCTATCTGCTCCAAACGTCATACCTTCATGCCCAAGATGTCGCGATAGAAATGTGCAGTCCTTGCACGATCGCCGACTTTAAACACAAAATGCAAAGGTCTTATTGTACCCATTTTATTAGAAAGCAGAAAAGATTGAAAAAAATCTATGGCCGCACACAACCCTAATAAAACACTCGCTGATGTTTGTTATTTTTTATAGTTAACATTTAAAAAATAAAATGGCTGTATAACAACAAAAGAATAACACTATAATTATGATACTTAAATTTACATGTGTAAATTATTTTTTCTTGCCACAATATTGACTTGAAAATTTCTCAAACAGTAATTTCTAGTATTACGTGTGCGGCCAAATCCACAATGGCTGCCCCCTTTGCAATGCGTGCGTTGCAAACAATCCCAAACGTATATCGCTGTGCCCCAGCTTTACAATACACGTGCAGTAGATCGTACGGTAGGTACCTTCGTCGAGTGCCAAAGAGTATCCTCACACAAACAGAAGCAGACGAGTTTCATCGCAAAGGTGTACTGGAGAAAAGGCCATCTCAATCGCAAGCAAAATCTATTTTGGATACAGAATATGCCCACGATGAAGCCATATCCAGAGTCAAGCAAACCGATAAACGCAGTCACACACTAGAGAAACAGGGACACGCCACGTCGACTACAGAAATGAGTAGCAATATCTCATTTAAACCCACAGGAAAAGTAAAAACTGACAGGCCTGAAGTGAAAGAATACAATCACAGAATTAAGAAGGCCAATGATTCGCCCCTGGTGTTGTTTGACAGGCTGCAGGACAGCGATAAACGATTCAGGTAAATAAAGCATATGGGTGCAGCACCCGTGTTTCTTTACTGCAGGGATTGCTGACTGCGTGATACTCGGTTATCTTCCTCTAACCACGTCTCCCCCCCCCCTACAACTTATCCTCTTCAGAGGACCCGTACAAATTTAGCTTCTTTGTTTCAGTCATTCCTGACTAGAACTCCCTGCCATCATCTTTAGTAAACTGTGACGTTGAAACATGAAATGTCGATCTACCGATGTGATAGATGTCAAAATCCTTTCCCTTGGACTCTGAAGAGTTATAATTACAGGATAGTGAAATGCTTTTGTAACAACATTCATCCAAAATATTTTCTCCCAAACCATTTATTTCGCAGCAACGCTATGATGGATGTAAAGTCGAGGAAGAAGAGAGAGAGCATGGGGAAGATACTGCTAGAGGGTAAGCGACTTATCCGCGATGCGATACTGGCTGGGGCGCAAGCCGACTCTCTGTTCTTCACCAAGCGAGACCTGCTAAGTGACATTCCGTTAGACATGGTGGGAGCCTGCAAGCTCTACAAGATCTCCTATAAGCAAATGTGCTTGTGGTCAGATGTGGAAACTCCATCCGGAATAGTTGGTGAGAAACGATCAACATTTCAATAAATAGTAGTATCATTACTGTTACACTATGTCAACCAATTATGTTTTAAAAAAATACCACGAATAATTCAAATCTGCACAGCCTGTAAATCTACAAAACCATTTTACTATTTAGGTTAGGTTTTTAAGTTACTAATTGTAATTGCAGGTATTTTCAACATGCCACGGTATGGCGATTTGAAGATTGAAGGTGACACCATGCCCTTGACCGTTATCTGTGACAACATCCGTGACCCAGGGAATATGGGAGTCATACTACGCACTCTAGCAGCCGTCGGCTGTAAGAAAGTTCTCATGATTAAAGGTGTGATATTTATGAACCCCAACAATCAATGGTGATGACGACATCACCCATATCATGTCATGTATGTGTCATATCGTAACGTATCAATGACATCACGAATATATATGAAACAAATTTGATCTGTTTGAATTAAAATGTTTCTAAATGTTTCTCTTATAGCTAAGGAGATGTTATCCTTACCAAGTGTATACTGCCCTGTTTTAGTGTCCTGCCAATTTTCATGCGACCGAGCATGACACGGTGTTCATCAGTTTGCGTCGATCAGCACAGCTGTTCATTTGTTACGAATCGCGCAGGTTGCGTCGACGTGTGGGAACCGAAGGTGATTCGCGCTGCCGCCGGCGCCCACTTCCGCGTCGGCATCTACACGAACGTCGTCTGGCCGGCCGTGAAGCACCAGCTGCCAGCACAAGCCTTCGTCTGCCTCGCCGACAGCAGCAGCAAGCTGACGATCGACATCGACGTGAGACTCCGTGCCCCGCCCGACGACGACGACGACGACGACGGCTACGAGATTAGCGTAGACGCGAAAACGGGCGCCGTGACGGATCCGTCGTACGCGGCAACAGACCTGCGAGCGTGCGATGTCCGCTGCATCGCGTACACGCAGCTCTACTACGCGGGCAGGGAACTGGTGCTCGTCGTCGGAGGCGAGACGCAGGGACTGAGCGCGGCGGCGGTGAAGCTCGCGCGCGACTGCGACGGGTTTCGCGTCTACGTTCCGATGAGCAGAGGCGTCGACAGTCTAAACGCGGCGACGGCCATGGCTGTTATCGCCTTCGAAATGAAGAGGCAGACGATGGATTCTAGCGTCGATGCGGACGATGCGGAGGAGGATAGTAATGTACATGTTAATTAAACGTAATAGATGCAAGTTCATCCCATGTCCAGGTGAAGCTACAGAGTTTGTTTTATGATGCTACTAAAATGAAGGCAATCTGTGTATGCGATGCTGCGATCGCAGTCTTACACAGTGCTATTGGTGTTATCCACTTATAATGAAATATAAACCAGGGGCCGGTTTCACGAAGCGTGATTAACTTTAGTTATAGTTAAATCAATAATCATGATTAAGGACTTAATCACGCTTCATGAAACCGGCCCTAGGTATGCTTAAAATGACTTGTTGTAATTAGCTTGGTATATGTCGTAGCATTTTTTTACAAGCATGTGAGAGTAACAGAACCTGATCCAAAAGAACACAATGTACAAAGTAAATTAGTCGCTTCTATGTCAGTTATATATTTAATTAGTAATAAAACCAAAGCTCTACAAAATCCACAGATTGTCGTTTAACACAAGATGGCTCTGCATCTCAACGTCATTATTTCACCACCATGCTTCGCCGCATCTTACGATACATGTGGCTCCTCTACAATGTTACATGCTACCATCACAGCTGGCGATTCACAGCCAGCTTGTTGACTACGTACAAGTGAGGACAGGCTCCCAAGCAAACACTTGATTGCACGCGAGTTCGTAACAATCCAGTCGCAAGTCCAACTGCACCAGCGTTTCTCTGCCACGTCCATCGCCTCTCTGGTGCATGCTTACTTATTGCTCCTCACTACTCGTCCTCTTCTCTTCTCCCCTACTTGTACTTCATGTACCACATCTTGTCGTACTTGCTCATCCACTGGCGGCAGCCTTGCATGTTGTTCTTGATGAGAAACTCGAGCGTGAACGGATTGTTGTTGCTCTCTCGCTCAAACGCATCTTGCGCCTCCTTCTCATCAAGCAGCTGCTGACTCACCGTCCACGCCTTTAAGGGCAGCTTCTTCACGATTCCCTCCAGCAGTGGCTTCACCTATCACGTACAAACTGCCGTCGTTACACAAACAAGTTCATTTCTCATAGGATTAGCTGTATTATATATTATATGTATAATAGATTATATATTAGTCCTATATTTATTATGATTTTCGTAATATAACTAGCGCGCATTGTTAAAAACACAACTAGTGTTGTTTTTTACATTAAATTTAGTGTTAAAACATTAGTCTTAACATGAACTTTTTCTCATAGACTGGACCTCTACACACTGTATAAGAAATTTGTAACGTTACCATGTTTTTGCCGACACTACGGGAATAATGTTCAAACTATACGAGGTTAATATTAGGACTAATTTTGTTTCAAACAATAGGCCCTCATGTTATTTTTACAAATGATTAGTTGGATCATCCTACTAGAATAACTAGGGAACTATGAAAATGAACATTTTAATCAGGTTTCACGAAAAAACATGTAAAGAAAATGTTATATGCTCAGGGCTCGTGTATGAGAATGAAATAATTCCTTGTCATGCCCGTTCAACAAATTCTTAGCCACCCTGAGCACTTTGGAACTAAAAATGATCTATATTGAATTGCAGTACAGTTCTATTTCGAAGATAGAAAAAGTGTTATTATCTACATTAATGTCTATTATTTATTAGAACAATATGCATGAAATTTAACAAAAATACAATTTATCACGAACAAAAGAAAATCGAATAGTGTCACCTCTGCGAATTCGATGTTGCCGCCCATTTCCAAGACGATCCTGTCGGCTCTCACCGGCGTCACGTAGTGATCGATGGGGCCCTTGCCACCGCCCATGCGCTGACCTTGACCCTTTTTCGTAATCGGCTTCCAGGGGGGGTCGATGCGCCAGACGGCGAACATGCGCTTGTCATCCATGTTGCGATTCACCATGATGCGCATCATCTCCAGGTGGCCCCACCGTAGGTTCCCCGGCGTGAGCGCCTGCGATCGCACGCAGAGGATTAACGTTCACTTGTCAACTTGTGGAGTCGCGTAGCTGATTCAACAACTACTATTAGCAAAGAAGTGCCATAGCAGCGATAGACTCGTGGGAATTTACATTAAAATAAGTATAGAATTATAATAGGTACAATTTTTTAATAAATGTAATAAATTGGTTGTATCAGTCGTGCTTACCAATAAGGACATAAAGGTCCAATGGCGTGACTTATCACAGTGACTCAAATTGAAAAATCGTCATTACGCATGAAGCACAAGGACATCAATAAATTGTCTTCCCTGCAAACGCTCCACTCGCTTCACTCCAGAAGCTCTCAGATTTCTGCTCTGCCGCTTATAGATTCTTTAGTTAGACGAAGAAGGTCAGAACTCCGTGGAATTAAGAGTAAAAGTAGAAGTGGAATGAAGTAAAAGTAGAAGAAGTAGATGTAGAAGTAGAAGTCGAAGTGGCCTAAGGTAGAAGTAGAAGAAGTGGAATCAAGTAGAAGTAGATGTAGAAGTAGATGTAGATGTAGAAGTGGATGTAGAAGTGGCTATAGAAGTAGATGTAGAAGTGGGCTTCATGAATACCTGGATGCCGTACTGCTTATGTATGAGCTTATTGTTCGCTGGTTCAGGTCCTCTAAGGTCCTTCAGATTCTTCATCATCTTTATCGGCTTCTCGTTTGCTCTGAACTGTGGCACTCGTTCCATGATCTTCAGCTTCACTCTCTCCGGGAATTCGATATCTGAAAAAAGGCGATGCACTTGATCATGCTCAGCATTAACTTTTTATTCAGTATAGATGTAATCAGGAGTCTATCAATATTGATAGACTCCTGATATAATGCACCATCCTTGCATAATTATTTGCAATTTGGTACAATAAATCAATATCGTATTTATAGTCTTTATTTAACTTTATTGTTTCATATGTTCTCATATATTTCTATACTCAGTTTGTAACATTCACTGCAAAAATACGAATGTGTTTGCTTACAGGGTACTGCCACACACCGAGCGAGGACATTACTATGTTATGCCGTACATGTATCATACTACCATTATAAAATCCTAAACATTTCAAATTTCTGAAAACACATATCTGGCCCAAGGCTTTAGGGTAGGGGATCGAGGAGATGGATCAACTATGCTAACTGAGTGACCAAACTCAACCACTAATAAGAAATTTCATGTACATGTGTATAGATAAATATCATCAGGGGTTAATAATGCCAAATTTAATCATGACAAAGGGGTTAATAATAAAAAATTACAAATTTGTCTCATTACTAACCCCTGATATCATTGTAGGTACCTTTAGCTGCAATCAAATGTATCACATTATCTGTGCTTTAAGAAACATGATGGAGAATTACTGAAATAATCTTATTTTAAGAATACGATGTATTATGTGAATTACTTACTCTCAAACTTTGGAGGTATTTTGTAGTCTTTGAGACCTGCAACTTGAAGCAAGCACCAAGAACATCCATCTGGAAATAACAGCAATGATAACAATAGCTTTAATGTTGGAGCCTCCACATTTAACGAGTATGAAATCATGTATAGAATTAGCTTTATTGCTGTATACACAGAAGCACTAGAGAAGAAGCTGAGCTATTGTTGAAATGCTAATACACATTGCATTGTAAATGTTTGTTAACATATTCTTTTAAAAACTTTATTCGTAATAATTTCTTTATATTAATGACTTGCAATTCGTTAGTATATATACAAAATGAATTGGAAATGCTTAGCCCCCACAAACAGACACTAAACTCCTGGAGTCAAATTATGATTGAAGCATAATGTATGTTTGTTTGGGCAGATTATCCTGCATATTTGTATGATCATCCTCAGCACTCTGCAGGATTACAGATTCTTGTTTATTCTGTTGAGGTGGATTCTGTTCAAACGGGATCCACTAGTAGAACAATGTGACTCATCCAACCCCTGCTCAATGTTTGGTATTTGTGTACCATCACTATTACCAGGTAACAATGACAGGTGACCCATTGGAGCGGTGTTTAGCCTGTAAGTTTTAAGCAGGGCAGATCAGGATCAAGTATCAGCTGATCATCAAATTTTCTAATATATATTATATTTATATATATGTACTTAATTATGCTGCATTGTCATTGTAATTCAAACAAGTGCCGCGGAGCGACAGCGCTCATCTAATGTCTACTGCGGTGACTCTGTGGTGGAGTGGTGGGATTCTAGTATTTAAACCCTGTTCACTGTGACATTGTAGCCTCATACATCCAGGCATGTATAGATTCTACTAGCAAACCCGGCAGTC